ACACACACACACACAACGTGAAACTCGAATAATTAGAATATCGTGCAAAGTTCATTTATTTCACTAATGCTTGGCTGCATGCTCCATTCGGGCTCCTATTTTCCAACTGGCTCCTTCAATCTGATGATGGAGGGATGCCATCCGGAAGGGTGCCAACAGGGGCACCCACTGTGTGAATCTGCATAGTGTATGGCCAGCTTTAGTGAGCACCTTTTTTGTGTTCCTTTTTCTTACTGACGTATATGTGTTGGTGTATCACAGGTCAGCCTGGAGAAGATCCGACAGGCCACTTCCATAAAGGATGTGCAAGAGATTCTAGAAGGCACCCGGTTCACAGACGTCAGCCAATCAAGTGATACCTGATCATCATGGATCTTAATGATTTATTAATCTGATGTCTGATGGATTTCATTTGGATGCGATTTTTCTACTGCCATTTCTCTCTACTTTTGATCTTCAGCCATGTTTTATTTCTGCCCCCTGATATACAGCACAGACTCCTGCGCAGAGCTGAGCGTTCTCTCAGGTCAGCCGAAATAACTCTGACTTTTTTATACATTTATAAAATGTCAGCGAGAACCAAAAAAGCAATAAATGTAGGAAAATCTGAGGGATGAGTCAGTAAATTAAAGTCATCGCAAGGTAGGAACCCTATTAAAAGGATGCGTGTCAGGACAGAAGCATGGAAGCTGCCAATGGTGACTTGTCTTTTCAATGTAAAGTGCTGAGGATGTTGTCCTTACGGTCTGTGTTGATGGGCTTTTGTTCGGGTCAGAATTGCTTCTCCCCCCATACTCCTCCAAGTCAATGGGAATGCAAAAGCAGGTTGAAGCAGCTTAGGAGGTCATTTGCAGGCCAGAAAGAGATCAACTGCAGGTCACATGCAGTGCTGAAATAAGGTCCTGTGGCACCCGGGGTGAAGATCTCCAAATGTGCCTCCACCAGGCAGCTGGGACGGATAATGCCATCTGTCCATTTACTGGCTGAGCCCTAAAATTACCATGTGTTTGTCAATGGGAAACCAAACAAGATGGTGGACGGTGTTGCATCGGGGTTAGATTGTTGTGATTTAGTCATAACATGAAAAGGGAAAAGGAAATGGAATTTAATGAACATAATGATACCCAAAATCCGTCCTTCCATCTGAGAACTCGGCTGATTTTAAAACTTCTCCAAAGTGAAATTATATTCTGAGATTTGTCCCCTTTATAAGGACACTTAAATCATATTTCTGGCATGAATTATTATTGCAAGTCTACAAAATTAACAAATTGTAACTTTTTAACCAGTTGACATCCGCGGTGTTAAACCCCCTTCCCATCCAGGCCATTTTTCAGTATTCAGCGCTGCGATACTTTGACTGACATTTATTCCGTCATGCAGCGCTGTACTGAAATGAATTTTATACCCTTTTTTGGGGACAGATAGAGCTTTCTTTTGGTGGTATTTATTCACCACTGGGGTTTTTATTTTTTTATATATGAAGGAAAAATTACAGATTTTTTAAAAAAAAAAACAGTTTCCCCTATATTAAATGA